ATGAAAACGTGTGCCCACAGGACTACAGACGCAGGGCGCGGGCCAGCCCCCTAGTCAGTCCCCGGGGGAAAGGCAGTGTTCACGGGGGCCGGGCTCTGCCTCCCACCCCAGGCGTCCACCTCACACCCCCAGCCAAGATCACCTCGAGGTAAGGCTGGACCTGACTTGTGTACCTGACATCAAAGTCCCTAAGCTTCCGAGGGACGGGTCGGCTCAGAGCTGAGTAAATCCGAAGCCCTCCCAGTGGCTGGCGTAACGGAGTCCAAGGCACCTGCTCATCTCTGTGGCCTCCAGGACTCGGGGCGAGGCCAGGAGGGGCTGCGCGTGGCGGGGATTCTCCCAGAGCTCCCTGCACGGGGCACTTGGGATCTCCCCACGCAAACACAGGAGCGGCGTGTTATTGTAAGGTAAAGTCAACGCAAGGCCATTAAGCGATGACTGTGCTGAAAAACCTGAGCCACGTGTGTCATGGCCCATCTGTGCCCTCAATCCCACAGTCACTTACAGCTAAAAAGACTGTGCATACTTAACACTACACGTTTTTGTTAAATACAACGTTGCCAGAAATAATAAATGTCCTGGGACATAAACTTAAAATAACATGGGTTTTCCAGTCAAGTAATCTTTAATTTAAACTAAAAATAGACTAAACAGTAGTTTACATGAACTTCGAGTACCGAGACTCCCAGCCCAGGGCTAGTGCATCGGACTGTGAATTTACGAGGCACTTAGTTAGCACTTGAGCACTTTAAACCAGATCAGGAATGAGCTGCACTAGAGACGAGCTCCAGGAACCCCAAGAGCATGCTCGGCCGGTCTTGCTGACTGGAGCCTTCCGCAGGGAAGTCCTCTTCTCACGCTAACCCGCACCACGTGCTGGCCGCTCAGATCCCCGTGAGGAACGCAGGGCTGTCAACAGCACCGTCAGCTTTTCTGAGCACTTTTGCAATCGTTCTGTGTCTCCTGAAAGACCAGGTTCTCTGGCCTGGAGTGTCTGGCAGGGTGGGGGAAGGAGCCTCTTTCATTTTGTAATCGATTTGAACACCAGAGAAAATTTGGAAGCGGTCCCAAGTCTAACATTCTCCCGTATGTGGTGAGACCGAGCTTCCAGGACTTGGATCTCCTCCGATTGTGGTTTTCCAAGCAACATCCTTATTGTTTGAAAGACCCATCTGGTGCCTGCTCAAGAGATCCCAGCCAGGGAGGATGGGAGGCGGCTTGTCAAAGTGCAAAGATAGAACACTTGATTTGTGCGTTGATTCTTCATAGGATTGTGAGATTCTCTGGGTTTGAAAAGGTCTCACCGCCTGAGGTGGCAGATGCCTCTGGTCCTGGCCAGATTGTTGGTAGTGGGGAAAGAGCTTTTAGAGAATTCCTGTAAGGAGAATTGAGGTCCTCTTAAGGGACTTGCGTATTTCTGAAGATGAGATGCTGCGATATCTATTTGGGTGAATGTGCAGATTTTATATTGTTTGACATGTTTTTAACACTACAGCTAGTGAGACCCTCTTTACTTTGGGCTGTACCAAAAGAAAGGGGTTTTCTGGGATGGAATATTTGAGAGACAGGTGACCTGAGGGCAAGTGGAGCCCCTATTTAAGTTCCCAGATGATTTTCCTGAGGACCCAGCTCAGGATCCCAGAACCTTAGGTTTCCTAAAATGAATGTTCCTCAAAGGGACAAAATCGTTCCTCCTTTTAGGCTTATGTTCCTAAGTGTGTCATATCACTGATATAACTAAGACCTTGAATTTGCTTTATTCTTCCAAGAGCAAGACCATATTCAAAACAGAGACCCTGGTCTGTGACTCAGATTAGGACTTCAGGGTCTATGGGTTGTGACCTTCATGATGGGACATCCCTTAATGCTAAATAAGGACCACACCTGCCAAGGCTGGAAATGGAGCAGTTTGACATGGTCCACATGCGATGGCTACACTTTATCATGATGAGATGGAGGCTGGAGCCATTTTTTTTCATGAGACATTTTGTTTCTATAACCTCTACACGTTGAGCTGAGTTCACTGAAATCCGTGAAAATTTTCAGAAGATCTACCTATTTAAAAAATCTATCACCAGTTTTATATAAAGATATAAAATCAAACCCCTAAGTAAAATTTAAGGTCGTCAACTTTTGATGTCCTTTGATAAATGTGCTTGAAAAGCCAGTCAATTCCTTCAAAAGTTAACATGAAATAGAGTTGAGGGGAGAGAGGGAAGAAACAGGTAGAAAAAATAAAATTCTGATTTCATTTAACATAATGTCCTCAGGTTCCTCCATGTCGTCACATATTGCAGAATTTCCTTTTTTAAGGCGGAATACTATTCCATTGTATGTATATAATGCATTTTATTTATCCATTGTCAGTGGACATTTAGATTCTTGGCTATTGTGAATAATGCTGCAATGTACATAGGAGTGTTAATATTTCTTCAAGATACTGATTTCAGTTCTTTTGCATGAATACCTGGAAGTGGGATTGCTGGATCATATGGTATTTCTATTTTTAATTTTGGGGGGAACCTTCGTACTATTTTTCCATAACAGCTACACTATTTTGCATTCCTACCAACAGTGTACAGGGGTTCTAATTTCTCTCCATCCTTGCACACACTTGTCATCTTCTGTATTTATTATAATAAATATCATGAAAAGTATTAGGTGCTATCTCATTGTGGTTTTCATTTATATTTACCTGATGATTAGCAATATTGGGCACCTTTTTATGTACCTGCTGTCCATTTGTATATGTTCTTTGGAGAAATGTCTATTCAAGTCGTTAGCTGATTTTTTAATCGGGTTATTAGTTTTTTTGCTATTGAGTTGTAGGAGTTCCTTATATATTTGATATATTTTGGAAATTAACCCCTTACATTACACTAAATGAAATAAGCCAATCATAGAAGGAAAAATACTACATGATTCCACTTATATGAGGTATCTAAAAGAGTCAAATCCACAGAATCAAAGAGACTGGCAATTGCTAGGGGCAAGGGGGAGGGGGAAATGCAAAGTTGCTAATCAGTGGGTATTAAGTTTCAGAGTAAGTTCACAACATCTGCTGTAAAACATTGTAACTATAGTTAACACTGTATTGTACACTTAAACATTTAACAGGGTAGATCTCATATGAAGTGTTCTTACTGCCATAAAGTTAAAAAAAATAAAGCGACCCTCAAAAAAAATAAGTAATTCATACTGAGGGTAAAAGTAAAAAAGAACATATGTGTGCAAAGGATGAATGTATTTAAACAAAAACCTTTTCTCTAGCACTCTGGGAGGCCGAAGCGGGCGGATTGTTTGAGCTCAGAAGTTCAAGACCAGCCTGAGCAAGAGCGAGACCCTGTCTCTACTAAAAATAGAAAGAAAGTAATTGGCCAACTAAAAATATATAGAAAAAATTAGCCGGGCCTGGTGGCCCATGCCTGTAGTCCCAGATACTCAGGAGGCTGAGGCAGGAGGATCACCTGAGCCCAGGAGTGTGAGGTTGCTGTGAGCTAGGCTGACGCCACGGCACTTTAGCCGGGGCAACAAGAGTGAGACTCTCTCTCCAAATAAACCCTTTTTATTTGTAAAATAATTTTTTTAAAAGTTGAATGGAAATTTCTTTTCCATGTACTTGTATATAAATAAACATTTTCCATTGCCCATCCCTCCAAAAAAGTAAAAAGCTGAGTAATTACATTAAAAGTAGGACTTTATTCACCAAAGTGAACCTTGAGAATATATCTAAATTATTTTCATTGGCCAACATTTATCTGATAATTTTGGGGGGTCTTCTGTAAGCCACATTGGACACCTACCTGACATCCTAGGCAGCAGGAGATGGAATCTAACTAGAGATGGTTTTCGCTATTCTGCCACGAAATCTGCCACTGCACTAAATTAACGTACTTAATTTAGCGGATATGGTTTCTCCAATTTTTTGGCACTTTCTTCAGTATTGCATAAATAATCAATTTGGTAAATATTTACCGAGTACAAGCTGCATGCAGAGGCTGCCCTGAGGGAATCCGGTGAGTTGGAAGAGCCGGTAGAAGCTCTTTTCTGGCATGATAGTGGTCAGTTGAACAATTAACCAAAAACAATTGGTTCAAGTGGAGAAACATCAAGAAATTATACTTAGGTGCTTTATACCAGGGGCCCTCAAACTTTTTAAACAGGGGGCCAGTTCACTGTCCCTCAGACCGCTGGAGGGTCATTGGAGAGTGCGGCACACATTCCACACATGTGCACTGTGGGCCTGAGAGGAGTCGGCTGCTAAGCAGGACAGGCAGCGGCGGCAAAAACACCCGGCGGGCTGGATAAATGTCCTCGGTGAGCCTAATGTGGCCCGTGAGCCATAGTTTGAGGACCCCTCCTTTAAACATTTTGTTTTAACTTAAGCTATGAAAGTTACAGTTTTTCCACCAATTTTGTGATGAAGTGGGAAAGCCTTCTCTTGGAGGGTGAGTGTCTGCCAACTGGACTTCCGCGTCACCTTCCTCGCGCCAAGCACACCTACAAGGAGGGTTTGAATCCAATTTCTTGTTTACGTATGTGCATGTGTATGTGGACAGGGACATAAACGACTCTTGTGAAGCAGCCTGGGAGCAGATTTTTATGATTTATTCCTCCTCTTACAGTTGTCTTGCCCACACCTAATTTGATAACAATCTATTTTAGCTGCTAGCTAAGTCAGTTTACATGAAAACAACAACTTTGCTTTTGTCCTCATATTGTATTGGTTAACCCAGTCTGTAACTACACGTATGAATTGAGATAACACGGGCCACTGACATCAGTAGGTTGAGAATAAATATTTTCGACCCTTGGTGAGCATGCCCTCCTCCACTGGAGGAGAAAAAAAAAATTTTCCTCCACGCACTCACGACTGTGGATCTGCTCTGTGAGGACTGGTGTCACCCCACGTCATCTGTTGCATTTAAGACTTGATTTACGTTAGTGTGTTACGCCGGCCCCTGGAGCATAAGTGTCCCTCTCTCCTTCTCCTCGGACAGCTTGGGGATGAACCACGACGACGACCACTCGTCCTGCGCCGGCAGGTCCCACATCATGTCGGGAGAGTGGGTGAAAGGCCGGAACCCCAGCGACCTCTCTTGGTCCTCCTGCAGTCGAGATGACCTTGAAAACTTCCTCAAGTAGGTCCTTGAATCATTCTGTAAAATCAGTACAATAAAAGTTACTTCCGAAAGACAGAATTAAGGGTGAGGAGGATAAATGATTCTCTTTCCGAATTCTCGGCTGGCCTGAGGAGGTGGTAGGACCTCTCACCTGTAACGGGCAAGAAGGTCCTCCCCCGTGTGCATCTGGTACGATGCTCTGCTGCCCTTGAGTGGGAGGGAATCTGCCAGGGAGGCGGGGAGGGAGTGTGTCTGTCCCACTGCTACCTTCCTCCCATAAGGCATCTGCGCCTTTCCAGTCTCAGGTTTCTGGGTCAGAATTGGCCATCTGGTCGCATAGCTTTGTCAAACAGAGTCTGTACAAGGGACGGTGCAGATCAAGATGTCAGAGCTGTGCAGACTCAATGTACAGACCCTGATCACTCCTTGGTCGAGACACCACGTCCACCTTATGGAGATGGCAGTGAGCCACCAAGTCTCACCTGCACATGAGCTTTGCGGTCCAGTAACACATTTGTGTGCCCAGTGAATTCGGGGCGAGGTGGAAAAGGCATCATTCTAGGTCTTCTTCCATGACGTTTCCTGTTGATGGGGAAATCATGTCAGTGGCTAAAAAATGAACTCATTACTTTTAATATGGTGTACTGGTCCCACTGAGGACTTGCTATCACTGAATCTTAATTGTTGTAAGCCCCCCCCCCCCACATTATGTCACTTTCCCCAGAAGGGTCAGGGCAGCAAGAGGGGGCATTTTCATTTGCTCACATACACCGTGCAGGTCCCCCTGGTGGCAGGCAGTGTCTGAACCTGGGAAAGGTGGACCAGTACATGTCACTGGCCAGCTTTCAGTGGTGGCAGGGGGTGCAGTCAGGTGAGACAACAGGTCAAGCGAGTCTGCTGAGGTCCAACAAGCACTCAGAATCTGTGGAGTTGGAATGAGCACTTTGATTTCATTTAATATGAAACACAACAGCCCTAACTTATACTTTATTTCTAGTAACTTTTGCTCAAAGCTATATTCTAAGAAAATATCATAGTAATCTATTGCAAAATGATTTTTATCAAAGAAAGCTCTCAGACTCTCCAAGACAAGCCCATTAGTCTCACAGGTGTTATTCCCAGGCCCCTCCCTGTCACCAGGTGCTCATCACCTTCAGGACAAAGATCCACACCCGGCCATGTGGAAAAAGAGCAGAATCTGTGTGTCCAGGGCCTGAGTCCTTTTCCCATAAATAATTTGGAGGGACGTCTTTCTTGGTGATGAAAAAACAGAAACCTGGGCAGTATATATGCAAGTCACCCTGTCTCTTGGCTGTTTCAGGTCAAAAGTCAGCACCTGCCTGCTGGTCACGGACCCCAGGAGCCAGCACACATTGCGCCTCCCCCACAAGCTGCCAGGCATGCACTACAGTGCCAACGAGCAGTGCCAGATCCTGTTTGGCACCAACGCCACCTTCTGCAGAAACATGGAGGTACGCAGCCGCTGGAGAGCTGGCTTGGGCCAGCGCGTGGGTCCCGCACTCCCTCAGCGGGCCTGGCTTCTGCTGGAGACGTGGGTATTGACGCTCAGCACATGCACATGTACCTGTATATACATGTATGCACGCACACAGTCACATACACAGACATGCACATACACACCCTCACAGGCATTTGTGCACATGCCCCCCGGAGAGCCCACATGCGTACACACCACACATGCAGTTGCATGCACGTGGCCACACATAGGTGGTTTTGCAGGGGATATTTTAGGGTTACTAGCATGAAAACCTTAGGATGCTAGAGAAAAGCAATTAACTCATACTTGGAAGTGACAAAATGTCACCTGACTTCTAGCCCTGCCCAGATAAGGGGGAAAGCTAAAAATTATTAAATGTTGGAGAGTATCAGATTGAAAATATTTAACACGTAATAAATTGGTTGTATGTTAACAGTGAAAATAATCCCATTAAACAGTGCCCATGGATTTGGTCCTAAAGCTTCCAACACGCATAGTCCCAGTCAGTCCTCACCGCTGCTCCCTAGATTCCATCCTAGTTGATAGATGGTGACACCAAGTCAAGCTAAGCGATCATTCAGAATGGCTTTATTAGTAGTAAAGCAGGGATTTGAACTCAAGCCTCTTCAGCCCCAGAGTACACACTTTGTCATGGTGCTGCAAACAGCAGGGTCCATAGCTTGCCAGGTTCTAGGGGTGGGGGTGCCAAGAGGGGCATGCTGGGGCCCGGGGCAGGGCAGTCTCCCTGTCCATGGCCGTCTGTGTAGCAGACAGGGAGGCCCGGGCCCCGGGTAAGGGCAGAGCAGCCTGCGGTCCAGCTGGCGCTGGGCTGTAGGAGTTGGATGGAGGAGCAGAGCCTGCACTATTCCGGGGCAGGATGTGGACAGAGTGGGGGAACCGGCCAGGATGTGTGGGACTCAGGAGCCACCCTCAGGGAGGGTTGTGCCAGGACTTGTGCTCAGGAGCGTGTCTGGTGCCAGGGAGGATGCCTGGAGCAAGAACTCAGGATGGGACCAACACCAAGGCACACAGGTACACGATCATCTGCCTCCAGAATGAGGCCCTGGGATGCCCGTTAGCCGGGACTTCTGGAGATGAGGTGCAGCCTCTTGACTGCTTCCTGTCTAAGCACGAGTTGGTTTAGGGAACTGGGGTGGCACCTGTAGGTGGGCATTGCCTGCCATTATTTGGGGTGCAGAAAAGGGTAGTGCCTCAAAATCAGGCTGGTGCCTCCTGCTGCCTCCTTCCCCGAAGGACATTAACCCACAGTGTGGTCCAGTTACTCCTCTGCCGTTCCCCTGGGGAGTGTGCCAGCAAAGGTCCCTTCCAGGGGACCAGTGGGAAGGTTCCCTCTACTTCAGTCCCCCACTAGGTGCCTTGTACCTCCTGCCCCCAGCAGCGAGTTGAAGAGATGTCGTGAGCCCAGGATTTATCACCCCAGCAGTTTGTCATGGTGCCCAACGCTCCCGTCAGCCCCTGCGGGGGGTGACTGCTGAGGCTCTTGTTCCCATACACGGTGCCTGCAAGGGGCATCTGTTTGCCTGTCCCCAGCTTTCAGTCCCTAAAATGAACTGATGCACAGATATGTCAAGAAGAGAGCCAGTTTCAGGGGATCCTTTGATGGCATGCAGGCAGCACGAGATGGTGTGGATGGCATGCCCAGGGAGGACACTGAGCATTCAGGAAAAGCAGAAGGGCCCTGGGCCCTCCACGTGGGGAAGAGGAAAGTGCCCAGCTGAGTCAGGGGGCACAGAGTGGCCACTCTGCCCAATGTAGACAGGTGAGATGTGGCAGGCCAGGCTGAGCTGGCCTTGTGGGGGCAGGATTAAGTGGGGCAGGAGACAGAGAATCCTGCTCCCTGAGAGCCATTTCCCTTCCAGGAACCAGGCAGTTGCACCCCAGTTGGGTGAGGAGGGATGAGGGGGCAGACACATGTGCTGGGGGCCCATGATCTCCCCGGCCAATCTTTTCCCTTGCACTGTCACACAAAACCCTGATTGCAACTCTTGATGCAGGGGCTTTTGAACCCCATTTGAACAGATGAGAGAACAGAAGCTAAGAGAAACAAGCTAATGGGCCAGGGCCAGGCAGAAAGGGGCGTTCTGGGAAGTAGGCTCAGGTTCAGGTGCGTCTTGGAGGAAAGGAAGGCTGCTGCCACTCAGAGACAGACCCCAAAGGGGAAGAAGGGGACATAGTATATTATTTTTTTTCATTAGCATCTTTTCATTTGAAGAGGACAATTAGAAGCCAACAGTAGTGATTAGCTCAGCTTTGTAACTCCTTTCTCCCTAAAGCTCAAAATCAGAATATGGATAAAGTGAGATCTTCCCATTTCTATGTTACAATGAAGCTGAACATCTATTTGTACAGCTCACCAGGAGCTGCAGAATATGTTTTCCTACTTGCTTTTGCCTTGAGAGTTACACCAGTAATAAAATACAAAATAAAATGGCATTCTCCCCAATAGCTAGCAGGAGCGATTACTTATGGGAGTGAAGTAGTGACCGTCCCCTCCACGGCCACCGTCTCAGCTGGTCAGTGGTGAGTGTCCTGCTTGCAAGGCTGGTGATGCTTCCTTTAGAGGAATCTGACAGTGGGAAGGCAGTGACTGTTCACGGTGGAGAAAATGTCACACTCATGCTCTTTTGCACTACTGGAAAAGAAGAGGCCAAAGGCCAGGTGCCTCCCTGTGACCTAGAGCATGCTGCCCTGGACACGGCACATGTGTGTGAATCGAATCCAGATGAAGACAGGGCCACACTTCCGGACTCCAGGGCTCCCTTTGTCACCAGTCTGCTCCTTCCACGCTTTGATAGGTCTGTTTCAGTTGATGTTCAGGATAGCAAGAGAGCATGCGTGTGCTGCCATCCTTCCTTAACTCTTGCCTATAACACTGCCTTGTTTCGGGTACATCCCTTTCCTCCTGGGCCTCATCCCGTTCCACACTCGCCTTCCCTCGCTCTGTTCCGGCTGCACTGCCATCGCTCTTCCCGGACCTCGCCAGAGACACCCTGCTTCATGCTGGCGGTTTCCTCTGCCCCACCACTCCTCTCTCAGTTATCCACATGATTCATCCCCTCATCTTCTTTGAGTTTTGTTTTGAAATGTAACCTCCTCCATGAGGCCCACCCTGACCACCCTACTTAAGGTTATAATCCGTACCCTCTCCTTCGCCCTTGCAGCACCCACGTGTCCTGATCTCCTGAGGGAAACCCTGCTTGCAGACACTTACCGTCTTTTAACATGCCACATCGCTTACTTTATCATGACTATTGCTTTGGTAATCTCCCTCTTCTAGATTATACACCCTTCAAGGGCAGCAGTCTTCACTTTGCTCGCCCGTGTTCCCCTCGGTGGAACACTGAGCAGTACCTGGCACGCAGGAGGTGCTCAGTAAGTGCATGTCGTGCTGGGATCCAGCCATGACCCTGATATTAATAGCAAATTTGTTAAGTCTTCCTTATGTAGCTTTGCTCAACTGCTAATGGGCCTGTGGACAAGCTCAGCGCTGAGAAAGAAACCCGTAGAGGCCTCCCTGTATAATCCATTGCTCTCTCAGCCTGTTCCCACATTTCTGTGTCTGCTTCACCAACATAACATGTAAGACTTTGCCAAACGTCTTGGAGGGGTCTGTATAAACCATTCCTGTGGCTTCCACCCAGGACAAGAAACCATTCAATGCAGTGCGGTGAGTTCAGTAGTGAGTGGCTACAGACTGGTTCCTAGTGATCGTCTATCTTTCTCTGTGCCTTGGAGTCCTTGCGGGTAAAATCTCAGGCCTCTGGTGAGTTAATACACGTAAAGTGCAGAGAAACAAGTGTGTCATACAGTCAGTGCCCAGTAAGGTGACCTGATATCTGTGTTATTGTCACCTTTTTGGACAACACTGATTTTCCTCTGTTGGGGGACAGAACTGGTTTATCTGTGTAACTCCAGAATCAGCATTTCTCTATATTGAACCCCTGGGAGCTATGGACAATTAAGCATCATCTGAAACCTGTACTGCTCATGTAGCCAGAGTCGCTCCCAACTAATTGGAAAGGGCTTTTAATCCATTGCCATAATTGATCTTTATACACATTATTACTCTTTCATGCCACTGAGAACTGAAATTGATACCATGTAATGAAATGACACTGGTCCCTAAGTTGCTTTCAAATTTGTTATCCCAACTTTTGCTTTTGGCCAAGATGGAATAACAGGGACTGGATTTACTCTCCCATCTGAAACAATTTTAAAAACCCCAAATGTATGAAACCACGATTTTCAGGATGTTGGACATCAAGCAATGAAAGCCTGTGATTCTCAGAAAATGAGAAACAATGAGATGAGCCCCACACTCACCCTGGCCCACTGCCTGGGCAGTGTCCAGGCTGCAGCTCAGGGAGGGAGGACTGCAGGAGTGGCAGTTGCCCTGAGTTGAAGAAACAGAGCTGGTTCCACAGGGAAGCTGAGGCAGCTACAGTTCACGAGAGAGAGGACCACAGAAGACATTGCTGCACAAAGAAAACCCTCAGAAATCTGCAAAGTCTTCCATAACAGTTCAGCTTAATGGGCAACACATGTTTGTGTGAAAAAACTACCCAAGGCCAGGAAAAGAACCTAGAAGGGTGAGAGGGAACCTTCTCTGGAGCTCTCACAGGCATCAGGTAGGGCACATGGAGAGCTTTGCTTCAGTCACATGGAAAAATTAGCCCCACACTAAATGCTGACCTGGTTCCACCTAATAAAGTTCAAAAGCAATATCTAAAAGGATAAAACTGTTTCCAAGTAACTTAACCAAGTCCTAGAACAAAGCTCAGATATAACTGTAGAAGTTCAAAATTATTCAGCACTCAATAAAACAAAATCACAATGTCTAGCATCAAATAAAAGACTACCAGGCATGCAAAGAAACAGGAAAATATACCCATAATTTGGGGGAAAACCAATTACTCAAAATCAACTAGAAATGATAGTGGTGATAGAATTACC